GAATGGGTGCCGTCAGAATGAGAGTCCAAACAGCTGATAAAAACATCACAATAATCCACAAGTAATCCAAATCACTCCAGTCCATCAACAGAAAAGAAAAAAATCCAACATTAAAGGGGTCATATGATGCGATTTCAAGTTTTCAACTAATGAAATTATATACTGTCTTTACATTTATTTTGAAAGATGAAGCTCGCGATTATGGTAAGGGACGCCCCTATATTTCCAACGAGTGCTTGCGGTGTTCGGCCAATCACAATGCACTGGGTCAGCTGGCCAATCAGAGCAGACTGCGCTCGTCGGAAGGAGGGACTTTGTAGAAAACGAAGCATTTGAGAGAGGCGGGGCATAGAGGACCTACAATAATGTACAGTATTTGAAAAATAATGTGTTTTTTTGAACATTAAAGCATGTCAACATATTCTGTTACACCAAATACACAAAATAATGATCTTTAAAAAAGCATCATATGACCCCTTTAAGGCATTTTAACTTTAAATCATCACTTCTGGCCATAATGTATGTGAATTAGGTGTTGTAAATGTTTCAGTGCTGCAGAACTGAGGACGTCTTTTTAATTATATATAATCACCTAAATCTATATTATCATGTTGTTTTTTGACAAGCACAGTGAATCACGGCTGTTCTTTCAGTTCCAGGAAGCAGATGCAGCCTCATTGTGTTCATTTCTGTGTCTATGTTCATCCTCATATTCATGTCCATTTTTGTGTTTGTATGTGTTGTAGTTCCAAAGCACCCGGTCCTCCTCCCCTACTGAGTGTTGTCATTTTTCCCCATGGAGCAGAAAGGTATTTTACCCCCAAATGTCTCCTAAATCCTATGTTCACGCTGGTCTGGAAACAGTTTTACATCCCTAATCAAATCATAATCATAGGGATGAGGCCAAAACTGCTTCCAGATCAGTGGTTTAACAGAACATCTTACATAAGATTTGGTTTGGTAGAACCTTCAAAACACGTCTGTGTTAATGTTATTTAACACACATAAGTTTTATTATAAACGTATAATCAGATATTGTTAACTTCTGAGTGTAAACCAAATCTTAACAGGACTTTGTGTTTGTCTAATATCTATAATTCTTTAAAACTTCTCTTCTGATGCTACTACCTTCTAACATCAGCAGTATGCCTGAACTTTCATCTGGATATGCCAGTGTCAAAATGATGATCTTCTGTGCATATGTGTGCAAATCTGAATTATGGAAAATGTGTGTGAAGTGATTTTCAGGGGCATTTTTGACCTTTATAAGAGCATACACTAACGTTCAAAAGTTTTTCTTCTCAGCTTTTTATAAATGAGGCCCCAGAACTTCTTTTCAGAATTGTGAGATAAAATGTCTCAATTTACCTTTTTTTTTTAATAACATATGGAAATGGGCTTCCATATGTTTTTGCATATACAAGTCACTTTGAATTATCTTCATTATCTTTGCCCTCGTTTCTGACCCTGGTAATGCTGTATAAATCAACACTAGCACAGACTAATAAAGCACTGCCCTTCTCATAGCCTCTCCAGCATTATGCTCCTGAAATACTATGTGAAGAATGTCTACGGGAAACACACACACACACACACACACACGGAAGTGCGCAGGTCTGAGGTTTCTTAATGACAGGGTTTCCAGGGTAGAGCTGCTGTCTGACTCTGTGTGTGTGTGTGTGTGTGTGTGTGTGTGTGTGTGTGTGTGTGTGTGTGTGTCTGTGGCAGAAAAATATAATTGCCCATCAGCTCCCGGCACTGTGGCTTACCCACAAACCCCTGCCTGAGTGACTGACTCCAAGATAGATGCTTTAAAGAGCGAACACTCTGTCATAAGTTCCCTTTTGAAATTTTCTCTTCACTTGTCACTTGCTGTTGCTTGTCTTTTCTGATCCATTTTAAGGCATATTTAGGGTCCAAAATCAATTTAAAGTAAAAAAAATAAAAAAAAAATAGCTTAATTTTTTAAAGTTACTGGCTGTGATGGGTTTTGGCAACATAATGCATGCTTTTAAGTAAAATTAAGAAACAATATAATACAATATAATATATTAAGTTATATAAAGTAATATATAATATAAAGTAAGATTATCTAATCTCTCATCAACACAACCAGTACAAGATTTTTTATGCTGCAAGTTTTCCTCTAGAAATTAATTTAGTGACACATAATAATGGAATAGATGGGACACTAATGAAAAAATGAGGAACAAAATCACATGGTTTATATTTTTGTGCAGTTTTGCGTATTCATACTGGCTCATCCTGTGTGGTTGCAATGAATATGGAAAAATAAACACTGTCATTATTTGCTAATTATTTTATATTTAAAAATATATATTATTATTGCTATTATTTTATTATGTTCAAACTTTACAATAATGTCTCACTCTCTATTTATATATAAAAACAGTATTATTATTATTTTTAATGTTGTTTATTTATTTATATTTTTATTGACTTGTTTTTTAATCACTTGCCATTGCAAGATTGCCAAAAGTTTCATTTTGGACTCTAGACATAGGTGTTGTAGACATATTATAAGGTTCACTTTCTCTGGTTTCCTCGTGCTCCTTTACGATCTGTGTTTCTCTCTTTCTGCTGCTGAACTTCATGAATGGCATTCTTTCATTCCCCTGATGTCTCGTTTCTTTTCTAATCAAAATAGCTTTTGAACACGAGCCAGATGGAGAAATCAAACCGTCACATTTGGCTCTTTCCCAGCCCCTTACGTTCCCTCCTCTCCTGGCCATTTTGGCTCCATACACTCCTTTTTTTCTTTTCTTTTTTTCCTGCTTTGATCCCGTGTTTTTCAAAACTCCACTTCACCCCTTGCCCCTCATTTCAGTGCCGGCAAACAAAATGGTCATAAACTCCCTTTGATTCAGTCCGTCTGTTTTTGTGGCGCTTCCCTCTTTCTTTTCGTCCTCTTCTGGTTTTGGGAGAAGTTTCCGTGGTAACACATTTTTTTTTTTTGGCTGCTGTTTATTGTGAGATCCTCATTGGCCGGCTGGGAAAAGGACACACAAAGACTGAATATCACAGCTCGCTTTAACACTGTGCATGTTCATATGTGGCTGGGTGACAGCCACTAAACTCTCCAAACCTCTTTAGTTAACACTCCGTAAACTCCACAAGGTAAGTTAACTGATTAGATTAACTGCTAAGTTAACTATCTGACAGGATTTAGCAAGTGTACTTCAGCTGGTTCTGTGAGTGACAGCTGAAAAGAAGGAATTGAACTTGTGTTGTGTTGTATACTTCATGAGAATATGCATTTGTTTAAATTCTTATAACTTTTTCTTGAAACTGTTGTACACTAATGCATCTCCATTGCTATTTACTTTACATGTTTCAGTGCTTCTTTATGCATGTGCATGTAGAACTAAAAATGTAAATTTGATCCAATTTTAAGTATGTTGTTCCACTTTTTCACAGACCTCATGAAATCAAAATAGATTTTGATTTCAAAATAGAAAGGGTTTTTCGTCTATGTCTGTTAGCACTGAAGTATACTGCACACAAGTTAAAGTTGCATTAAGTGCTAAATGTAACTTTTAGCATATGTACAAATTGAAAATTGTGTCTTCTTTTCCAGGAAAAATGAACCAAAAGCAATAATGACGTATCCAGGTGCTGTAACAAATCGAACCAAGACCATTGGCTATTTATAAGAAAAACAGCCCAACTTCCTCTTCCAATTGGAAATATGCCAATTTAGAAACATAAACTGCACTTATCAAGTGAATTCATGGGGTCTTAAGGATTAAAGCAAGTGGAACCATCATTGATTTGTTAGATACATCTATAAAAGCTTTGCCAACCTCAGTAACCTCATATTCATCACCGTAATGTTCTTCTAGGTTGCTCCTCCAGTGGATTCAGATTCAGAGGTGGTGGCTTTGGGCCACTGGCCGAAGTGCCCGATCCCGAATGTGCCCTCAATGCTGGACAAACAGACCAACTGGGCTGGAATCTTACCACTGCCCACCCCAGAGGAGAAGATGAAGACGGACTCTCAAGTCATCAACTCATGCATCGTTCCCATTAATGTAACAGGTAAATGCCCCCTAGTGTTTGCTGTCAATAATGCATGCTGAGTCAGGGCTGAGTATGACACTTCAATGGTAGCAGCATATAATGTGTTTTTGTAAAATATAATTTCAAATTAAAGGTTGCATTTATTTTACTATTGCTCAAGTACATACTATAGGGCTCAAGTCTGGTGACGCTGTCACTACTGAAGGAGAACTTTGGTCCATTAGAATCTAGTGTTGTTGTAAATGTGTGTAAAAAAAAAATCGGTGTACAAACAATTTGTTTGTCATAAATTGCTAGTAGATTTCACAAACAATTACAAAGAAATTGCAAGCAACACATTGAATTAAACAAGAACTTTTGAAGGGGAAATACCAAAATTGTATTTTCTAGTAAAACATGCTCCAATAATCTACACTGTAACAGGAATTTTAACAGATAATACCAGAAGCTTTTGTGCCAATTCTTGATTAAAATGCCATTTCTGTCATTGACAATGAACTGTAGTAGTAGTAGTAGTAGTTCCAAACATAACAATTAGTACATTTCGTGTTTTTATTTTTTATAAATACATTTGAGCTATTTTGTGTATCTCATGCAATTCAAAAATTTACAAATGATTTTAACAGATGTTATGCAATGATTAAAAGCTACTGAGTTGTGATACAGGCAGGGTTAAGGACAGGTTTGGTGGTATGGGTAGGTTTAAGGGTTGGTTAATGGGGTCAACAGTGTACAGGGGTAAATTTGATTACTATAAGGAAACACTGTTTATATTACAAAATATTGATAAATTAATAAGTATGTTTTTTTTTAACTGATTTGTTTTCTCTTGTTGATGAGTGATTCAAGGAATATCCTGTTTAATTACAGTCAAACCAAAAATCATTCAGACACCTTCATTTTTCACATTATCACTATAGTTTCGAAAATGGTGACAAGAACTCAGAGTTAAACTGTGTCAGAACAAATTCATCTTGATGATGCCATCCTTCTGTTAGACTGTCTCACAAATGAATTAGCTTGAATAGCTGTCAGCTGTTAAATGTAAGTACACAATTAGATAACACCAGTTTAGGTCAACCAATTACCAAGCAATACTTAATTTTGTTCAGTCTGTGGTGTAAAAAGGTTGCATTAGCAATTAAAGAAAAACACTTAAGCACAACATAGTCCGGTCAAAGTGTCTGAATTTTTGGTCCCAAATTTTTTATCAATTTTAGTGCACTGTATGATGAATTTTTAATAATATGTCACAGTTTACTTTATTTTGCTATCCTCACTTACATAAATGAACTATAGTGTCCTGCACCCACTAGTAAAAAAAAATATATAAAAAAATTATATCTGGTGTCTGAATGATTTTTGGTTTGACTGTATATACAGTAGTATACTGATATAAGTGTTGAGACAATAACAACATGATTTGCAACCAAATTACAACTTGTGTTATGACTTTAGCAAGCATTTAGCTAAATTTAATTAACCACCACCCCTTAACACAAATGTTGTTACAGCAGCTAAAAGTCCAATGCCCGTAAAGGTTAGTAAACATTCATGAACATTTACAAATGATGACTAGTCTTAACTTGAACAAAAACATGAGCAAATGATTAATGAATATTTGTAAAGGTGTGTAAATAGGATGAATTCAGGTCATTCGGGACTCTTTTTTTTTTTTTGCCAGAGATGACTGCTCGTAAAGGTACTAATTATTAGTAAACGTTTATAAACATTTACAAATGATGAATAGTTTCAACTAGATCGGGTAATGCAAAAACATGAACAAATGATTAATAAATGATTTGTAAAGATGTGTAAACAATAGAATACTACACAACAAACACAGACCAAATATGTGACCCTGGAGCACAAAACCAGTCATAAGTAGCACGGGTATATTTGTAGCAATACCCAACAATGCATTGTATGGGTCAAAAATTATCGATTTTTCTTTTATGCCAAAAATCATCATCATGTTCCATGAAGATATTTTGTAAATTTCCTACCATAAATATATCAAAACTTAATTTTTGATTAGTAATATGCATTGCTAAGAACTTCATTTGGACAACTTTAAAGGCGATTTTCTCAATTTTTAGATTTTTTTGCACTCTCAGATTCCAGATTTTCAAATAGTTGTATATCGGCCAAACATTGTCCTAACAAACCATACATCAATGGAAAGCTTATTCAGCTTTCAGATGATGTATAAATCTCAATTTCAAAAAATTGACCCTTATGACTGGTTTTGTGGTCCATGGTCACATATGTGACCTTTACAGACTGTGATTGAGTGAATATGTTAACATGAATAGTTTGTGATGTGCTTAAAATTACTAATTAAGCTATTTTTTTCACCACATTTTACAATGTTAGGTAATATGTGAACTGAACTTTATTGACATTTGTTAGCATTTGAAAGTACATTAACAAATTTCTGTTAAAATCCTTTAGATTTTTGAAAAGTGCATGATGATATGAACTGGATGTTAAGCATTTTAAAAGCATTTTAATTTACATTAAATAATGATCTGTTAATTATTAGGTTGTGTTTAATAAGTTCATTAGTAAACATTAACAAGCACATTATCTCATACTTCTAGCTATGTGAATATATATTTACAAATGATCTGTTAAGCATTACATACTGTTTATTAATGAAAGTTATTATCGAACAGTCTATGTTACACCTCATAACTAAATCTAATTGAGAGTATCATCATCTTGACCAAAGTTCTCCTCTGGCATCAATGAACAGAAGGATTACCTTGTGAGTACGCTGAATTTTGCGTGTATTGTTTTCAGAGGAGGGAGCCAACGCTACTTCCCCCTCAGCGATATCAGCTTTCCTAAGTGAGAGATCTTTTACATGTTCATTAAGTTTCCCCCTTCAGTATCAGTGACACTTCATTCCCTAACCATCACCATCTAGAATAATGTGCGGAGAGAGAAAAGGGGTTGCCATCTCAGCCATAATAACACTCTCATTTTGGCTATTGTAGCTTTCTAATTTAATGAAAAAAGCTGTTTTGATTTTCACATTACTAGCACATGCTGTTATAAGTCAGCGTTAAGTGGCCAATAACTTTATAAATGAAGAGTTAGTAGTCCTGAAACATAGATGGCTAAAGTAAATGTGTGATTTTTTAGTTTCTGGTTTTAAAGGGTAGATTATAATGGCTTTAGACATTTGCCGTTTTAGACCTTTTGCTTATTCCCATAAAAACATGTCAGGAAAATGCTTGACAGACAGAGGTAAAAAAAAAAAAAAAAAAAAAAAAAAAAAAGAAAAAAAAAAAAAAAGGGGTCCTAATAGCTGTAGGAAACTA